TAATATTTCTATTTCATCTATAATTCGTCACAGTTTTTCTTTTTTTTTTTCACATTTTTAAGACATTGAGATCACTACCTATATCTTTTCCTTCTTTAAAAAATCTAGATTTTATGTAATTAGAATGTATTTTCATCATGGCTAGGTTTGGAAAGTTTTATTCGTAGTAATACACCTTGATATGAAAGTTCATATTAAAACTGTCTTGGAAGTCATGCAGTTACCTGTGAACATCAGCCTCCACATCAAAGGTTATACCATCACCATCTTCATACCCAGCCATGCCTAGGACCCAAAGTGAACCCATACACAACTTATCAGAGGAAAACATTTGTCATTTTACATTTAAATTCTCATCCAAGATATTCTGCAGGTTTTCTTGGAGCTGCAGAAATATCACAGTTATACATTATTTAGTAGCCATCTTGCCTTGCAAAGGTCAGGTTCATGTTATTCAAAACGTGATGTTTAGTATGCAAAAACACAAACAGATTTGTTGTTTTAAAGTCACAGAATGTGATTAGTGAAACTAACTTTCTCTGGAAGAAAAATGCCTTGCCTCAGCATCTGATTTGTAAGTGGGTTTGGCTTCATTGATATTTAATCATCGTTTTAATCTGTATGTCAGTTTTTATTGCAGTCTGCTTCTGGGAAGCAGACTTTTTTCTCTTTGAAATACCAGTGACACCCATTCTTTGCTCTAACATCACAACAAGGACTCTCTCAGGGGCACAACTAGTTGTATTTTATCTCTAAGGATGTAATTATTTTGTGTTTATCCATAGTTCCTCAAGGGGCTGATGATGTGAGACACCCTTCTTACAGACCTTTGTATTTCAAAAGAAGAATCTGATGTGTTGCAAATGATCTTGCATCATTCTTGTGAATTGCTTGTTTGTAACCAAACTAGTTCTATTTTTTTATTAGTGTGATAGTTGCAACTTTGAAGGTTATTAGTTGATCTTTTCAAGATGTTACGAGCTTTAGTAGCTTAGAGAACTGTGTCTTTTCTGTTAATGTGTTTTAAATATTCAAATTCATTTTCAAAGTCAGAATAGAGAATGGAATTATCCACAACCCACTTTGAGCTATCAATATGATCATATATGGCAATAAAACTACAAATAGGAACTCAGAATTAGTATCTCTAGTGATTGATGTTGAGAAATCAAGGCTGGCATCTCTGCAACAAGCTTGAGCTTCTTTCACACAAGCTGATAATGTTTTATTTCCTGCTCAATTGAGACAACCAGAGTGAAAAACCGTGTGTTGCAGTTTTTGTTTCTGATTGGAGAAATCCCTGTATGAGTCTTGACCTACATAGGTGACCCACTGCTCTTGGCCCTCTCAGAAAAGCAGGTAAGGGTCGGTGAAGTGCTAGAGACTTAGGCTTCTCTCTCCTTCACTGCCAGTGGGGCAAAATAGTATGACATTCCACATTTTGCTTCAGCAGGATTCTTAATATGTGAAGGAAAAATAAACACATTCTAAAGTCCTAACTGTCCTTTTTTTCTTTTCTTTTTTTTTTTAAATCCAGGCAGAAAGCATTAGTAGAATGAATGCATTCATCTACTCTTTCATGAATATCAGCTGTAACATGGTCTTAACTCTTCAAAGATTTCACCTGCTAGTAAAGAATAATGTCTAGGTACTTTGAATATAGAATATTGCCCATAATTCCGAAGTTGAACTTCCATAGGTAAAATACCATAGCTAACAACGGAACAAATTTTGCCCAACTGTATTTTATGACTCTCAATAGAATAGTGAGGAGTCATCTTGTTATACAGGCCAGTGATACCGTTCCTCTTGGATTTCTCAATTCATTTTACCACCTATTTTTGGTATTAGAACTGTCTTCATCTTCTCGGGGTGAGGGTGTCAGCAGTGTTCTGAGGATTGAATCCAGGGCCTTTTAACTGAAGTACATCTCCAAACCTTTATTTTTAAGTTTTTAATTTTAATTTTTAAATTAAAGACAAGGGCTTACTAAGTCACAGCGTTCCTCAGGCTGGGCCTGAATGTATAATTCTCCTGTGTCAGCCTCCCAGAGTTCTGGAATTACAGGTATGCACACCCTCTTTCCCAATACTGTATGATCTTAACTTATATGTAGAGTCTTCTTTCTGTGGAAAAGTTTAAGCATCCATAGCCATTATTTATGATGCTATGAAGAGGTCATTATAAATAGAATCTAATTTCTGAACTCATATTACAAAATTGTACAAAAAAAAAGATTCATGAGGAGCAATTGTTTTTCTTTCTAGATACTGTGTTCTGATAAGTGGCTCTTTTATGATCAGTATTAATTTTTAAAAATAAGATATTGCTGATTTATCTATGTTTGCTTTTTCTTCTAAAAAATTCCTTGAGGCAGTTTTCTCACAAGAAATAAAGTTCTTTAAATATGAAACTTTCAATTGCTCAAGGCAGAAAACACCCTTAATTAGTTTTGTAACATCTAAATTCATTAATTTTGCAATAGTAACATGAAGTCTTTTATGAACCAACCCCCCACTCTTTTAGGCCCTGGGGATATGCAGATGGTTAAAATCTAATTGTTGCCTTATAGAAACTTTCATTGCAGTGGGCTGGAGCATCACATAAATGGGTAACTACAATGCAGTTTGAAAATTATAACAATAGGCATTTAAAATACAGCAAGAATATCTACCAGTTTCCAACATATTTTTTTTGGCTCTTATGTAATGACAAGCATATTATCTTGCAAAGATTTGTTACTTTTCTCTTCTGTCAATATAATATAGTGGGAAAATAGTAGAATGTTTTGATTAAAATGTACAATCTGTAGTCACACTATTTGTGTTTAAAATATCTGACCTTAATAACTACATAACACTAGGAAATTATTTAGGATGAGCTTTATTTCAGAAGCAGTAAAATAGGCATAAAGAAAGGTTGTGTATACAGTTTCTATTTCTGCTCCCACATCACATCCAAATGTATGCCACCACCGTCTTCTGTTGCTCTTGATGAGGCAGATTACTATACAGGATCATGTACCTGTGCACAATCATTTTCTATGTGACTGTGATCCTTAGCATTTTAACTTGCACTGGGCTTTTGACAAATGCAGCGACAGTAACGCTTCAGAAGTTCAGCTGTAAGAGACTTGTGGCTTCCATTGTTGTACTGTCAGAAATATGTGCTTGAGACCACCACTGGCAAAAAGCCAGTTACCTCATCAGAAGGTGAGACCATGTTGAAGGAGACTGAGGCAGTCTGGCAACCTGACGGCACCGATTTGTGGAGAGCAAGTTCTAGCCCATCTGATCCTGGTGTTTAACAAAGGCACACAGATCAAAGAACCATGAGAAATAGTAAGTTGCTACTATTTTAACCACTCAGTTTTGGAATAATGTGTTATATGTAGAAATAGATAATTGAAATACCTCATATAATCCCCACAAGTCTCACAGTGGAAAAAAGAGACTTTTTAAAACAGAAGCTATTTTAAAAATCAAAATCCATTCACCACATATTTTAATAAAGCCCTTAACTTAGCTATCGCATCCTACGTTAGCTTATCTTATCATATTTTATCTTTTCTAACCATTTCAGCCACATTCCAAGGATATTCCATGCCTTTTCAACTCTCAGGAGTTTTTTTCTTTCTCTTTTCTCTTCCTGAAATTCTTTTCTCTTTTGAATTTGCCTCACTTATTTCACAGATTGCTTCTCGCCTAAATGTCACTTTCTCAGCAAGGTCGTCTGTGTTCTGAAAATAGTTCCACGCTCACAGCCAGCCAAAGCTTACCCAATTTCCCTCTTGTCTTTGCATCATGTGACATATCACTATTAAAAATTACCTTGTTTATTTAGACTTCCATGATTGTCTGCTTTCCTCCACTTTTCTGAGGTGCACTCCACAAGGTGAGGAAAGAGACTTATGAGCCTCTCTGTATCAAGCTCTGAAAATGATGTTTGACATATGCTGTATGCTTCGCAGAGCACCCTGATGGATAGGCAGTCCTTCTAGGAAATGACTCAGAATCAGATTTTAAAGTACACAGCAGAGACCTGGGTCTTGTGTAATACTAATAATTAAAACACAATTATGAACCACTTTTCCTGATTGAGTTTATCTTAGAATCAGGCGAGCTAATAAGTATACTATCTCCATTATTTCCTTTGTTCCCATATTAATGCCATCGTCCTTGATTCTAAAGTCCAATTTTCAAAAATAACAAAACTGAATGTTAGAAAATTTAAGCAACTTGGATAAAATAATGAAGATTTACATTCATGGAATTTGACTAAAGACTTAATTCACCGTGCTGCTATTGCCTATATATGTAAAATTTTATGTATTTTTATCCCTCTCTCTATCATGTTAGTATTTTACTTTTGTTAGGATCCTAAGCACTAGTAAAACACATCATTTGGGGGCTCAGAGGGCAGCTACATGAAGAAATTTGCTAGACCTGAACCTTGAACAAAAAGTTGATAATGCAGAAAATCGAACTCCATGTAAAGAAAACTACAGGAAAATTTTATAATGTAGTTTTTGAACTTTAGAGTATCTGAATGAAAATGTGGTTGTGGGAAAATATTCCTATGACCTTTACATTATTTTGAACCTCAATGGAAATTTCAGAAACACATGGAAAAGACATATTTTTAAATAGAATAGAGGAAAAATTACTACATTTCTAACCAGTCAGAGAACAATCTAAGTGGACAACATTCTTCACTAGTGCTTGGTGTTCATTTTCAATCGAAAAATGCTGATTAATGTTATAGTTTAGATCTAAAATGTCACCAGTTTTACGTATTCGAGAGTGGAGATTTGACCGGTGATTGGAATCAGTGAATGCTCTACTTGTCAGTGGATTGATCCACTGATGAGCTCATGGCTAAGTGTGCTGTTAAGAGGTAGGGTGCTTTGGAGGAAGTGAACTGCTGGGAGCTTCTCTTTCCCCAAATTGCTCTGTCTCTCTCTGCTTCTTGACTGCTGTAAGATGGCATTTCTCCACCAGGTCCTTCCACCAGCTGTGTTTTCCTTGGAGCCAGATGACCAAGGACCGGATCCCCTGAACTGTTGGCCAAATTATATCTCTCCTCCTTTATGCTCCAGGTATCTGATATTTTGTAACAGTGACAGAAAAGTGACTAAGACTGATATTTGGTACCAAAAAAAGTAGGATCATTGATGTGAAAGCACCTGACCATGTGGTTTTAAAATCTTTAGAACTGGTTTTTAGGAGGAATTTTGAAAGAATCAGAGATGTGGTCCAAGAATATTGTAAACAGCTTAATGGGTGATTCTAGTTGGAGCTCACAAGACTAGGAATGTATAATAAAGCCCAAATTAAGCAGATTTCAACGAAGCAAGAACTGCATTGCCAGGTAGACTCTGGCAGAAAGTTTGTCAGGATTTTGTCCGTGTCCAGAGAATTTACAAGAGACTGAGGTTAATGATACTAGACTAATCAATCTGGCAGAGTTTTCAAGACAGTTCATCATTTAGGCTGTGGCGTGGGTAATGCTGGCTGCTTTTAGTCAGATTTGTAGTGAGAATTGAGGGCAAAAGGCAAAGTAGAAAAAAATTGGAAAACTTACATTTTACATTCTGTATGTGAGTAAAACTAGCATTTCACTGTCTATACAAAGATTGTATAGACATTGGAAAACTTACATATAAATTCACAGCTAAAGGAGGAATGACTGCTAATGAAATTATCACCAAATGAGCCATGGATATAGCTCTGTGGAACTGGGCCTGCCTGGCAAACACAGGGTCCTGAGTTCAGTTCCAGTACAAAAAAAAAAAAAAAGAAAGAAAGAGAGAAGAAAAGAAAAAAGAAGAGAAGAAAAGAAAACAAAAGAAGAAAAATAATACACAAAAATAAACAAAATAGTTTGTACAGGGACAAAAAGAAACACACCATGTAGTCATCTCAAGAGTTAGCAAAACCCATCCATGGCAGGTTCCAAGGTGAAAAATGTCAACCTTTCATTTGAGAAGAGAACTTCTGGGACTCCTGCTAGAGGAGAGTCTGCTAGGGAATTGGTCCTCCGTGATTCATTTCACTGTGCTTAGACATATATCCATTCAGAGGCTGCTGTAACCATTTTCAGGAGTGCCTGGATACTATTTCCACTGACAACAGATCTTTGTATAGACAGTGAAATGCTAGTTTTACTCACATACAGAATGTAAGATTTGATGGGCCACGGAGGCTGGTATAAGTAGCTTTCTTCTGACCATGCTCCTCTATCATGCCATTTTTGCCTGAGAGCTAACTATCCATGAACTGAATTGTCTAAAAATATGAGCCAAAATAAACCTGCCCTCCTTTAAGTTGCAGGTGTATTTTGTTGCAAAAAAGGGAAAGTGACTAATACAGTTACTGATGTGTTCAAGGCATGTGTACCCAAACAAAGTTTCAGTCTACTGAAAGTGAACTCTTCCCAGAACTTAGCATTCTGAGCTTGTAATCAAAGCTTGGAGGAGTTCCTGCATCAAGTAACTCATACTCAGTAATAGGTGATAAGTGTTCAGGGGTTAACATACTGAATTGATTAAAAACTTTAAGTATCTTTTTGGTTGCAGAAAAATTGTGGGATAAAAGCAAATCATATTATCACAAATACACATTACACACAGACAAATGCATGCATGTGTGTGTATGCACACATGCACACACACATGCACACACACACACACACTTTATGACTGGTTAAATTGAAGAACTTTAGGATGCCTAGGAAGGGAAGTAAGGCAATCTTTATGTGTACAGGTCTGTCATCAAATAGCATGGTTCATTGTGAATTTTTGTTTCAAGCATGTTAAACAGTTGACTTCAGATTCCTAGCAGATGGTGGCAGCAGCAGGCAGGCACTCTAGTCAATGAGGAATCAAAGTGAACTTTTAAAATAGCTGATTCTTAAACTTGGAACAAAAAGGAGTGAATGTTAGGGGGGAAAGTAACAGGTTTCTCATGAAACGTATTATGTGCAAATCAAAAAATGAGAAACTCTAAAATTTGCAATAAACACAGGAATATGTATTTAACTTTATGGAAATGCAATGTATTTAATCAGTCTTTTAGCAGAGACTTGCATATTAACTGTCATCAAATCTCTTTAGCATAGAATTACAGAAATGCAGACTACTATGTACTTTCCCATCAGAGCATACTAAAAATGTTTTCTTAAATAAAAAAGTATTGTGTTTTTATTGATGAATTAAAGTGGAAAACATAGAGATAATTTTTTTCTTAGTGCCAGTCGACAGTATAAATATTTCTAACACAGGAAGATCTTGTTTGCAGATAATCTTTGCGTTTTATTTTCTATGCTGTCTCTACTGCTATTAAGATTTCCCTGGCAGTCTTTATATGCTTGATTTATCAGCATAAAATAGAATGACTCAATATACCGCTTAGCTCCTTCACATGTTAGCCACTTAAAATGGCTAGGAAACGTCATCAAATGCCAGCAAATGGAAAAACAAGAGTTTGTTCTATGAGACAGGCCCATGCTAAGTCTTTAGAGCCATTTAGACCTCCTCATCCCTTAGAAAGTCAGCAGGTGTAAGTCTCCCAACAACAGGTTTCCTTCCCATGTCTGAATGATTGTGGTGATTAAAATGCAGCTGTCATTTTAGCTGTAAATGTATACTTTTATATCACACTGCAGAAGTGCGCATTTGTTTCATTAAAATGCCCTTTATACTATTTTTCCGTGGAATTTGAGTCCATTGAATGACATTCAAATTAAATGAACACACAACAGGGCTTCAATGAGGTGCTTAATTTCTCCTCGTAATCAGGCACTTTCATCCCATTCCTCTTTCCTGCCTATCTGTCAAATGTTCCTTAATTAAGAATTATTCTTAATTACAAAGTTTACGTGTCATTTTATTTTAGAGGTAATTAATTAAATTTAACACAAATCATTGCAGATATTGCCTTTTCTGCACACTCATTTTTTCTTAACTATTGGAATACCTTGAATCCTTTGACTGATGGGGGTAGGGCATATTGATTTGTTTTGTGTCTGGTATGTGGCAGAGAGCTCATACTGAATAGAAGAGTCTCAGCCTATCAGCCAGACAAAGAAGTAGGAAGCATTTTTTTCTTAGTTGATAAAGGGCAGTGAAAAAATGCACTCTGGTCATTCAGTGCATTATGTGAAATCTCTAAGGAGCAAGGAAGTGTGATGATTATGGATGAAATTCGATCCTGCAAAGAATACCCAAAAATAAAGCTATTCTGTAGGAGTTCTTGGATATTTGTTAGAATGGATTTGCCAATATTTTTGTGTGGGGGACTATATGAAGGTCACTCTGAGCGAGTCACCTGGTTGGAGGAGAAAAGAGATCCAATGGACAGATTAGGAAAGGATTCTGTACCTCTTAGCTCCTTCTTACTGTTTTTCACTTTAAACATTTTTAGATCCTACCATTTATTTGTCATTTTGTTAACTAATATTTGACAGGAAGCAGGCAGTAAATAAATTTTTAGTAATAAATGAATAATATTTTTGGAAACTACAAGTTATTTGGCCTATTTAAGGATTAAATATTCATTATGTTCAGTGCCATTATGTTATTAAGTTCTCAGAACAAAGTATGGAAGAATGTATGGTAAGCCATGTTTTCAAAGATTCGCAACAGTAGAAGTAAAGCTCATACACCTAAATATTACATAAATGAGACTATAATGTATGCCGTGATAAACATCTTTATATGAATAGAGAGAGCAAATCAGACAAGCAGGGCAAAGTTTCAGAAATGTGAAGAGCATTTGAATTCTGCCTTGAGGGTAGTTTTGAACAAATGAAGAACTAGGGAAAGGACATCCTAGGGAGATGAGCAAAGGTCAGATGATTGAATGGATATGATGTTTTCAAATTTCCAAAAATTGGAAAACACAGTAATGCTCAGTCCTCGCAAGGATACAGTGAGACAAGCATTTTCTACCTGCTGTCAGCACCACAGTATGGGTCTGGAAAACTATTTTTACAATATGTATCATAAGATTCATTATTTCCTTTTCTAAAATGTTATTAATGATAGGTGTACAATCTTTATGTACACAATTATTTATCAGCATATTTAACAAATATTAATTCTAAATACTTATAGGTAAATGATTACATAAATTATGAATCTTAAAAACCATGTTGCATAATGTTTATTGGCATGAAGAGATGCTTAAAATTATACACACACACACACACACACACACACACACTATAAATGTAATTGAATGCCAGTTACAATTGTAAAAATATACACAGCAGTAAAAAGAAAACTAAATAGAATTAACACAATACTTTGCTAATATTAATTATCTTTGGGTAGTAGATTTATGGAGACTTTCTATGTTTTTCGTGTTTTCTTTTTTCCAGACATTTTATGGTAGATGAATTAGTTTAATAATAAGGAAAACAGACTTAAACTTGTATGTTACAAAGGATAGAGATGTATCAGATGGCTAATGTATCAAATGCTTAGAGAATGATTATAGAACAAGAAGGTAGTTTCAAAGTTTATTTAGTTCACACTGTGTGCAAAACCTGGTAGTAAGCATTCAGCGTAAAAGGGCCAAGTACAAGATATGGCCTTCCACTCAAAATTATAAACTGGCTGAGTAGGCAAATCAAAGTACATAATGACAATGTCAGACAACAATTCCAATAATATTGAATGTGGGGCAAAATTCTATAGATTACCGAAAGAAAGGCCTAAAAATATGGAGCAGTGATTAGCATAGCTGCATAGCATTTCTAAGTACTTTTTTGTCATTTGCTATTCATGTCACCTTGAAGAATATATGGTGTCACAAATAGTGCAGGGCCTGTAGACTCTCCAATCATTTCCCCCACCAACAGTATCAGGGTAAGACTGAGAATGTGAGAGGACAGTGGGAAAAAACCCATAATTTATAAGCTTGTGGGTCAGGAAACAGTAGATACTACACAGTGACCTTCCTTCTGATTTATGTGTCTTTTCATAAGATCCCACCATAAGTATTCAAATACATAGAAGACACCTCCTCCCATGTACACACATGTATGCAGTCATAAATACACGTGTGCATGTTATGTATATATTTTTATATATGC